ATATCATGTTTGGAATTTCTTGTTTGTTCAATTTCAATTATTTCTTTATCATGTGGAATCATTGTTGATGAACCATTTATTGGTTTTTGTGTTTGTTCTTGAGTTTGATTTTGAATATTTTGTTCTTCTTCATGATCTTCATCTTCATCTGTACTTTCACCACCTGATAAATCATATTTATCACGACTAAACCTTGAATCTAATGTTCGACTACCATGCGTTGATGAATCATCATGATAAACTTGTTGATAAATATCATTGGGCGTTGTTGAAATTGTTATGTCTGTAGTTCCCGTTGCTGTTGTCGGTTGATTATTCGTTGCAGTTGTTGTTGTTATTGGAATTCCAATTTGACGCGTATGTTGACGAGCTGAATCAACAGATGATAGATTTGTGTCTTGACTACGCATTGTATCGGATGTTTTAAGGCCGGTACCAGGTGAACGAAGTGTACGATTAGTTGTTGGTGCAACTGTTCGAGTATTTGAATAAGATCTAAGAAAAATTTAAAAAAAAAAAAACAAATATTTGAGGGAAAAAAATTCTTTGTTTTTTTTACCGAACAAATGTTCGATTTTTCATATAATGTTCACGTGCATGTTCAACAATTTCTTTTTGCGTTCGACCATGATATCGAAATGATGAACCACGTGTTAATAATTTACTTCTTGAACGTTGTGTTCGTTTTATCGTAACACAACGAAAAAAAGCATGATATTCAATACATTTTTTCCAAAAATTTTTACATTCATCACGTGTATCAAAATAAAATTCAACTGTATCTTTATAATAACCCTTAAAATATGCAAAACAAAAAAAAAAAACAATTTTTTTTTTAATGTTTTATGAAATTAAAATCTTACATAGCCTTCTGGTTGTAATTTAATTAAAAATTTTTTACGTTTAAAACTTAATTTACGAATTTTAGCCCATGAAAATGTATTAATTTTCGTTATATTTTGAAAGACAAGTATTCCCATATGTGCAACTGATAAATTAAGATTGACTTGTTCATGATCTTTAGCCGGATGCATTCTTATACCATATAATTCAACTTTTCGAGCAATATCAAGTAAATTAAGATCGGCATCAACCGGAAGTTGACCACTTTGAAGAAAAAAAAAAACACAAAATATTTAATTCAAATAATAAATATATAATATTGATTATATATAAACTTACACATGATTTTTATGAAAATTCATTATACGAACTTCATGTTCAGATGTTTGATGTGGAAAAAATTTTCGACCACCTAAATAACTTGGATTATTATTATATGATTCAAGATAATCACCAATTTCCGCTAGAATAAAAATCAAATGATAAAAAAACAAAAAATACAATAAAAAAAAAATCTTTATCAACCTTGAACAATATATGATGCAAGTAAAGCAGCAGTATTATCACTACATAGTAGTGTACCAGCATTAAGATCACGTTTTATTTGTAATGCAAAAAGATACCTAAAAAAAAAAAGAATATAAAAAATATCAATATTGAATTTTGGAATATCCAATTATCAATGTCGAAGACATATGTTTAATTATTCTAATTCAAGCTTTTGCTCGGAAATAAAGTGAATAAATACTATACTAGCCTCAAGCTAGATGTGGATAGAATAACAGAAAAAAAAATGCATATAGATAACATATTTATCTAAAGAATTCTACCTAGTAAATTCTTCTTCCAATTGACCAGGATCGGGTGTATAAAATTTAACACAAAATGAAAATTTCGTTTCAGTAACTTGTTTAAGTACAGGTTTATCCATTTCAAGCCAACACTAAACAAAAAAAAAAAAGAAAACAATGAAATAAATTTTCTAATTTCTTCTTATCAAATACATACAGTATTTCGACGACTATCAAGATATTCAAGTGCAAAATAATCAGTTTCAAGTAAATCAATATAGCTACAAACTGTAGTAAATAAATCTTGTCCAGTTGCTTTCGGCTACAAAAAAAAAAAAAAAAAAGGAAAAAAGATCAACAATATTTATAATGAAACTTTTGCGTCATTCAATAAAACATATGAATATAATAAATACAGATGTAACTTATTTCTCATCATCGTAATAAAGATGATGATAAACGCATGTGTGTACATACGCAAAAGTTCTCAAACTTGACAATCTTACAAACAGAAATAAAAAGATGTCTATATTGACTTTTACTATTTTGACAAATACATCATATAATTATTTATTATGATTAATAATATTTGACATAGAAGTCAAATATTTCAATGATATTGATCTTAATACTTACATCAATATGAAATGGTAATTCTTGATCATCTAGCATGCGAACTTTACATGATATTTGTTTGCTAGTTTTGCCTTTTGTCATTGTTGAACTCATTGAAAAGGTTTTCTTCTTTTCTTACTAATCTTGCTGCGTTTGTTATTTTTATAATTAATAAAAGGTTTCTTTGACTTTTTCCGTTTGTTTATATTTGCAGCTGTTAATAATGTCTAAGTCCGTATTTATCGTGGACGGATAACATATGGACAAGAAGAAAGACAACAGCTGAATTTATTCGTTGTCATCATTTAAAAATAAAATACGTGATTATGAAAGTCGTTGTTGATGTATCATCATTATTATTATCATTTTATCTAAAAGAAACATTCTATACATACATATATATATATATAAACCCAAACTATCTATCTATCGTAAATGTTCATGATTGGTATGAGAAAAGTCACGGTCGGCATGTGGTCTCATCGTTTGTTTTAATAACAAGCTACTTTTTTTTCTGCTAATAACATTTCTGCTATCTTCGCTGTCGAAACTTGATTATTGTTGATAGTAATGGTGAAAGTAAAGAATATAAACTAGATAAATGCATGCAATTTTATGTATCTCTCTCAATCTCTAGATATACATATATAAGAAGATGAAGATGCGAACAAGCTGATTGACTGCGAAAAGAGCAGATAAAAAAAACAAGACAATTGATCGATTAAATAAACGATTAATGGTGCAATAGCAGCATCGGACGTGGATTTTTTTCTCTCTCTCTCTCTCTCTGTATCTCATTTCTCTTTGATACTGACCGATTTTTTTTTGTGTCACTCACTATCATTTCTACCATTTTCCATTAAATTGTCTATATCTCTTTTTTTTTGCATTACGACAATAATGACGACTGACAATCCATCATCTTTTTTCTGGCGGCGATGCAGCTCGGCTATCGTCTCTTCCTTCTCGCTTGTTTCTTGTCGTTCTCTCACTCTTTTTTTTTTTTCTTAGCCTCTGTTACTCAAATAGTAATAGAAAAGTCAGCCATCGTAATGCATTCTATAGAAAGACAATTGCTCAACATACCAATTCTTCTTTTCTTTATGGGTCTTCGTCGATTCGTTCTCTCTCTCTTTTTTTTTTCTTCTTCTTTTTTTGGCTCCGACGTTGATGATGATGATCTGTGTATATGTTGGATGTCTAAGCGCAGTCTCATCATCAAGCAATTTTTTTCTTTCTCTCCCTTGCAGACATACACACGCACAGTGGGTAGTGGTAGTTGTAGCACAAAGACGAAGATATTGTGCATGTCCTTCTAATCGGTTTCTTTTCATTCTTTCGCTTATTTATTCTGGTCAGGCTACTATAAACACTTGGAATAGAATGTTGACGCTGTGCTGTTTGTAACGCATTTCATCGAATTCTCACATGAAAAAGACATATATACAAAACAAAAGAATATGTCGCTTTATAAATCCTAGATAGTAGATCGAGTAGAATAGAACTTACTCATTTCATTAGAAATAAATTACGAGGCGGTTCGATTCGGTAAAAAGAATAAAAAAAAGGAAATGAAGCGGATGTCTATTGGACTCGTTTATATATAGATTTTATATACACCTCTTCAGTTTTCTAACTTATTATGTTATATTTTTCTCATCAGAATGAACAACAATGTATGTGCGTGTATGCAAATACGATATGAACAATGATGATTGAAAAGAAAACAAAATAGAATTATGATTTTTGATGCCGACTGATCGAGTATTTGAATAGAAAATTACATAGGGCATCTTCCTATCTTTGTTTCCCTTGTTTTATTCCCACGATACATACAACTCTTTTCATTTCTGTTATGAAAAAAAAAAGAAAAAAAAATCCTGCATACACACACACATTGTAATACTTTTGATCTAGTTGATTCTTTTCTTTTGCTATTATTTTTAGAGCATAGCTCAATCAAATGTCAATATTTTATAAGAGATCGAAACTAGTTTATCTTCTTTTTAAAACATGTTCATTTCCTTTTTCTCGCATCCACTTATGTTCATGTTCTATTGATTGATGTTGGCTGTTGCTAGCTATTCACGATCAAACGTATGAGAATACTGAAGCAAATGCAATACGTCGTCCTTATGCTCCACAGCAGACGACGCGACAACATATATATATATATATATATTCGCTCAGCATGGTAGATGTGTTGCTCTAATTCGATTAATTATTCATTCCAAATACGTTTTCACCCTATCTTTTTCTCTCTACAATCACTGCTTCGTTTCATTTCTTTTTTTTCTTCAGCTAGATAAAATATTATTAAGTTATGGAAGATGTTTGTTTTTTCTCAAAATAAAGATCACAGAAACCAAAAAAAAAATATTCTTCTCTTACCAAATAAATATTCGTCATAATAAACAAATCTGAGAAAAAAAATGCTAAATCGGCTTTCTTTCATATTGTCACAAAGGATATAATGCTCAACTGGATAGTTATTGAACAAGAATGAGATGTCAAATACTTCGAATCAAAAGAAAAAAAAAGAGAACAACTATGTAAATAAACAGTAACGCACACACATAGTATGTATGTAAGAAGAATAAAAACGATAAATACTTCTCAATGGTTTGACTACCAACCAATGATAATCTTGACCTACAGGGTACATCTGATTGGTTGAATATATTTAGATAAAAAAAAAACAAGTAGTAAACAAGCAATACATATTTATTTGAGTTTTGGTTTTGTAAGATCATGTCGAACTTACCGACAACATTTTTGACACATTCACAACGTGTCTGTCGATTATACAAAGCATTATTTGTATATGCTCGTCGACAACATTGGCCTGATAAGTTAATATAATAAAATAGTTGTTGTTGTTTTTTTTGTAAAGTTTTTTCAAAAATATTTCATTATAGACTTGCATATCGTCAACGTATGGTAGAATATCGAGCACGTTTTGATACAAATAAAAATGTACAAGATTTAATGAAAGCAAAACGATTATTAATTGCAGGTGAAGAAGAACTTAAAAAAGCTATGCATTGGCATACAGATAATTTCAATTGTAAGAATCTGATTTATATAAATGAACTTTAAATAGAAAAGAAAAAATAAAACATCTTTTATTTTAAGTTCCTGAATCACCTTATGGTATTGCTGAAAGTCGATATCCAACACCTGATGATGCTGTAAGTGGAGAAGAAATCTTTATATAATTGCGTTTGGTTTGTTTTTTTTTTTGAATTTAAGGCACTCGATGGATGGCATCCATTAGAAAAAGCTCAGTATCCAACGTATTTTGCAACACGTGAAAAACGAAAGAAAGCTTATATGGAATGGTATCTGAAACGATATGGTGTTCCAGATCCACCTATGATGTGAACATTAATTTCCCATCTAGTTTTTTTCTTTCCCTTGGATTGTAAAGTAGAGTATTTGTTTTTTTTTCTTATAACACTTATTTACCATTATATTTGTGCATACATACACAAAAAACATTGTTCTTTTGATTTTTTTTTCTTGTTTTCATTATATTTATTTTCTTCGGGTTATTGATTATTCATGGTATGAGATTTGAGAATAGTGTCTATTCATAGGCGTTATATATCATGCCATTTATTTGACTATGTCGATTAATCATCTCAGACGAAGTGATTTAATTTTCTATAGAAGTAGTAAAAAAACAAATAGGATAAGTTTTTGATATTTATTGTGGAAATATATCGTTCGATTTAGAGGAAAATTTTTATTCGATTCATTTTATTATTTACTTCTATATTTAAAGTAATGGATTAATTTTTAAGAATGACTTTCATATCAAATAAATACGTTTTAACATAATTCAATATCTCGTGAGTTTCTATCTTATTAGTCTTATGTAATAGTTTCGCATTGAATCTTGTTAATATGTGACTAGGAGATTTTATTTACAAAAGTAACTTCATCTTAACATCGATCACATTAATAAAAAATACATACCATATAGATAAATTATAGAATTTTAATGTCTAGAATACAACAAATAGATTGTTTAAAACATATTAAAGTTTGATTTGACACTGATCCGGATATACGCTTCAATATGAATAGTATGCATCATAGAAATTTCTTTTTTTGTCTTCGGAATTAATTCTTTATTAACATGACATCAAGAAATGATTAAATTCTTCAAAACAATACAACATCTCGCATGTTATGATCTTATTATTCTATGTCATGTGTATACAAATGTTTTTTACAACAAGGAAATTTATTATTTTATTAGAAACGATCAAGATTTGATCTCTATAATGCAGAACACTCAAGATTAATAGAAAGAAAGAAAGAAAGAAAATAGCCTATTATGTAAATTATAAAGTAGTAAACTCGTCTATGTTATTATGAGAAAAAGAACCTTGAACAAGAATATATTGAAAAATTCATAGAATCATTAAAAATTGAATAGCCTACAGACGTCAATGGAATCATAGATTTTTCCGAGAAAACAGAAAGTCTTACATGGTAATAATGACTGTCAGACTAAGCTAATTAAACAAATATATCATACTAGTTTTTTTGACGAAATATTCTACGATAAATATTTTTGTTCAAAATAAATCTACTAAACTATTCAACATATTAGAATCTTTTTAACCTTAAAAATCTCATTAATGTTTGGATATTTTGTTTAAAAACATTTTTGCATTTGTTGAGATATATTAAAATTAGAGGTACTGAATTTTTAAATGTAATTTCATTTTGTTTGAATACTTTCTTGTTAAGAACTTTGTTCAACAATTCTTTTTTTTTGTCATATTATGTAAAATAATCGTGTAGTTAAATACATTCGCAGAAAAAGAAACAGAAGAGGAAAACCATGACTTCCTTTATTTCAAGTATAATTGAAAGTATAGGTCGAGAATGAGAAGAAACTCATTTGTCACATATAAAATTACTATTATTAACTTGTAAAATGTTTTCAATAAAAGATTATACTGAATATTACACAAGTCTTGAGATACAAGAAAATTAGTTTATATGCAGATAGAAAATAAATTCTAACCGAATGTTTTTATATCAGTCTTGAGTATTTATATCAATCTTTTAAATAACAAATGATTGAATAATATATTCTCTAGTAAATCTAATTTAATTATAACGCATTTGTTATTGTCATTACCTTTTATTAATTCAACAAGTCTCTTAGCAACTTTATCAATTACTACAAGTTATTTTTTCTCATTATAATTGTTAATTATTTAATACTCGAAAAATTATTTTCTTTGTAGGTTTTTTTCTCTTTAATATTCCTCATACATTTTTAAGTGAGCCATAGCATCAATATCTTGAGGTAAAATTAGATTATTAAATAATTCATCAATAGTTCAAAATGCAATCTTTGTTCTTTATTTGTTATTCTGCATGCAATGTTTTCATATATTTTATTCATTTCCATCCGATTACAAAGTACATAACTTGACTAAACATGTGATGTGATGAATGTCGCATAAACGAATAAGATAAATCATTATTGGTTTCTACTACACTACTTTTTAATATAGAATATGTTCAGCACTTTATTTTAAAAAAATTATGTTGATTGATTGCGAAAAGTTTTGTATAAGACCACCACTGGGAAGTAAGGAATGTTGCAATTCAAATGAAATACAATTAGTGCTTCTCATTCCCAACTCACATTTTGAACTGTATGAAGTTGGTAAAGTTCAAAAAAAACCAGTCGCAATCTCTGTCAAAAGACATGCACTTAAAGAAACACGTCAGCATTTATCTTTTTTGTTAAGTTCGATTGTCTAAAGACGAGTTTTGAATCTACTTTACTAAAAATTAGAATAATGATGAAACAGCAGTGATTAGTGTTCTACATCGGTATGGCTTTTTGCAATCGAACTCGGATTCGGATAGCTATACCTGACACTCGACCAGGAAGTTGCTGCAAAAATTTTGACTTATGTATCAGAATTTCAATGCACTACGTAGATTTATCACTTTTATGTAACTGGAAATGAATATCTGAACCTATTCAAGCTTCATAGCTCCGCCGTCTATGCTTATAGCATCATTCAATCTTAAGAAATGCACTTATATGCGTCATCTGCAGTTTTGGTAGGGGCCCTAGATCATTTGAGTAGTAGTCAATGTAAAAAATTATTCTCTTGCGAACGGCATATAAGATTTTTTTGTCCAAAACGTGTTCCGCATATATAGATGGCGCTATTTATCACCGTCTGTGTCATGTCACAACGGAAGAGAATGTAAAATGGGATATACTGTCACTCAGATGAAAATCGCTTCATTCAGTCTATCAATAGCAGATGCACTTCTCACTATCGACATCTATAGATAAAAATCGGACAATGAAAAAATGCAAGGATTTCTAATTGATCCTAAATTAGCATAAGATAAGAAACTACCTAATATTAATCTTGTTTGAGAAAAATGGTTTTTTCCAAATATTCATTGCTGACAAGGTTGTTTCCTTAGTAACGAAGAGACTAGAATAGAATAATAGAGCCAATAATGTAGAAAAAATATAGAGGTCAGTACCATCGAAAAGTAATTTCCTTCGAACGGATTTTTGGAAAGTTCGCCCCAAACTAGAGAGAGTATGTTTGAATCAAAATATAATTCTGAATCGTTTGGTATATTATCACCCCAAATAATTCATTGTCCGATATGTACAATCAAAGTGCATCAGTCATTTTCAAATTTGCTATAGAAAACATGAGTCATTGGTTCTGAACATCTTCTCGATGAAAAGTTTCTATTAGTTCAAATAAACCATGATTGCATCTTAGTCGCCACTCACCAATGGTGATGTCGACAATGCAACTTGGACCTCAAAAACAAATTATACTAAAATGTCTATCTCTCTTTATTACTTCGAATGATAACAATAAAAATCTTCAAAAAATGTCTCCACACCTACTCCCTTCCAAGTGCATTTCTTCTAATCAAAAAACAGACCTGATGACTTATGAAAAAAACATATATTAAATCGCAATTAATAATTTGAAATGGTTTCTATCATCGAGACGTCTTTGATAAAGTGGCGCCCTCTCTTCGTATTACGTTACATTTTTTTTTTGTGAAAAAGTCTTTTATGACTACGAAGCACGATAAGATTGGTGTCTTGTTTTTACAATGATTTAATATGGACTTGGTCAAAGTTCTTATTTGTCAGATGAGCATTGAAGAAAAAAAGAACGGAAAAATTCTTATAAATTTAAAAAGAAAATCTTTTTTTTTTTACCTATTTTCTAGATTTTTCACATGGCATGGATGAATTCTACAAATCATATTCAATAAAAAATCAAGACGCAAGAATTATATTTGATGACAAGTCATTAAAAATAAATGATGGATATTATAATGAACATTCAGGAGAAGAATTTGTTAGATATTTTTCAATTGACGATGATGATATTGTTCGACTAGATCAAACACAAATAATATATTATGATGTTAAATGTACTCTTAATTATCTTATAGATAATATAATTAATCAAGAAAATACTCAATGTCAGATTACAAATCTACAACATAAACGTTCATTAGAATTGAATAATGATGAATATTTATCGAAAAAAAAAGTCAGATTTAATATTTCTAATGATGAACAACAATCATTAAAATGTTTATTTGTTTCGGAAAATTTTCAAAACAAAACTCAATTAAGACCGTATACAAAATTTTTATATAATCTTGGTTATGATCTTTGCTTAAATGAATATCTTAATGAAAATAATTATCTTTCAGAAAGTCAAAAACAAATATTAATTAAACAAAATGAAGTTTTTTATCATAATTCATTATATTCATGTAAATATTGTTCATTTAAATCTAATACAATTCATGTTATGGATTATCATTATCGAACACCACATACACTAGCACATTCAATTGATCATCATAGAAAATATCGTTGTACATATTGTTCATATCAAACATTTCGTTTACCTGAACTTCGTCGTCATTTAGAACGAAAACATGGTTATATATTAATAACAGAACCATCTTTTCATCGTTATCGATGTTGTTATTGTTCATATGAAACTGATGAGAAAAATCATTTTCTTAAACATAATAATCGTTGTCAAGTTGATCAAGAACGTACACGTATTGCAAATAATTTGCTTCAACCATTTAATCAATCAAATAGAAATATAAATCAACAAATGTAAGTTAGAATGAATGAATTATTAAATAATGAATCTATTATAGATTTTCATAGTATTAAAAGCATGAAGAAGCAAAGTTTTTTTTTTGTAAAAAAATGTATCATTTAATTCCTTACAGTCTTATATATTTCTATCGATAGGCTCTATTTTAAGTGTTGTGTCAAAATGCGTGCACTATTCACAGACTTCAAAACGACCTCAGTT